AAGGGCAGGGAAGTGTCGGGATTGCCACCGTCCATCAGACAGACAATGTATTAATCATAGACAGCATTAGAGGAATTTATGTAGACGGCTGAGAAACGAGCGGGAAAACAAGTTAAATGTTCATGACAACGCTGTAAAACTAGTGTGAATTTAACCACGCTGCTCATAAGTAAACAAACACAGCATTCATGTGATACCACAGCCGCTACAGCTACAACTACAGCAGCAGTCACAGCCGCTACAGCTACAGCTACAGCAGCAGTCACAGCAGCCACAGCCACAGCAGCCACAGCTACAGCCACAGCAGCAGTCACACGGGCGGGTCTTCACTGTAGGCCATTTTAGAATATAGTTGGTTTACCTGGATGGATGTATACATAGACAGACAGATACAATATAGACAGACAGACAGAAAGATACTATATAGACAGACAGACAGACAGAAAGATACAATATAGACAGACAGACAGATACTATATAGACAGACAGACAGACAGACAGATACAATATAGACAGACAGACAGACAGATACAATATAGACAGACAGACAGATACAATATAGACAGACAGACAGAAAGATACAATATAGACAGACAGACAGACGGATATATACTATATAGACAGACAGACAGATACAATATAGACAGACAGACAGACAGATACAATATAGACAGACAGACAGATACAATATAGACAGACAGACAGATACAATATGGACAGACAGACAGACAGATACAATATAGACAGACAGACAGAAAGATACTATATAGACAGACAGACAGACAGAAAGATACAATATAGACAGACAGACAGATACTATATAGACAGACAGACAGACAGACAGATACAATATAGACAGACAGACAGATACAATATAGACAGACAGACAGAAAGATACAATATAGACAGACAGACAGACGGATATATACTATATAGACAGACAGACAGATACAATATAGACAGACAGACAGACAGATACAATATAGACAGACAGACAGATACAATATAGACAGACAGACAGACAGATACAATATAGACAGACAGACAGATACAATATGGACAGACAGACAGACAGATACAATATAGACAGACAGACAGAAAGATACAATATAGACAGACAGACAGACAGATACAATATAGACAGACAGACAGAAAGATAGAATATAGACAGACAGACAGAAAGATACAATATAGACAGACAGACAGATACAATATGGACAGACAGACAGACAGATACAATATAGACAGACAGACAGAAAGATACAATATAGACAGACCGACAGACAGATACAATATAGACAGACAGACAGAAAGATAGAATATAGACAGACAGACAGAAAGATACAATATAGACAGACAGACAGACAGATACAGTATAAACAGACAGACAGATACAATATAGACAGACAGACAGACAGACAGATACAGTATAGACAGACAGACAGACAGATACAATATAGACAGACAGACAGAAAGATACAATATAGACAGACAGATACAATATAGACAGACAGACAGACAGACAGACAGATACTATATAGACAGACAGATTGATAGATAGATCCCCATAGAGGCTGAGGTGCCTAGAGTCATAAAATCAATTTACATCAAATCAATTGTATTTGTATCGAGAGAATAAGCTTTAAAATGAGGTATAACATGCCATGGTAAATCATACGCAGTAAGACGACATCATTGGTTGCGACTCCCATTCATTTAAATCGGAACTGTAGGTCTTAGTTTACTTGAATCAATATTTTAAATTAGCACATAGACGATAATATTAATGAAAATTTGAAAATGCAATATAAATATTTTAGCATACCCCTATTGTACATGATTATATTATTTCATGTACTCCTCATTCCCTCTGATGCTAAACTACTGCTGTGGTCAAAGCTGGTGTACGGGTGAAGTGTGTTGCCTAAGGACACGACAACAGGCCGGCCCCACACTGCTTCGCTCCTGAGATGTGACGAGCCGGGCAGATACGGCCGTGAATACTGTGTTTTTGGAGTAGTCGCTTTCTTGTTTCCATGGAGATTGCCTATTTTATGCTCTTTTCATCCAAAAAACAATTACATCTTCAGGGACGGTAGAATGAACCTGCACCAAAACCACTTAGTGCCAATGTTCCCTCAGAGCAAAACACAAACCCCCGGATCTCCTCCTGTATACACCTGTATACACCTCCTGTATGCACCTCCTGTATACACCTGTATACACCTCCTGTATGCACCCCCTGTATACACCTGCTGTATACAGCCCCTGTATACACCTGCTGTATAAACCTGTACACACCTCCTGTATACACCTCCTGTATGCACCCCCTGTATACACCTGCTGTATACAGGGGGTGCATACAGCAGGTGTATACAGCCCCTGTATACACCTGCTGTATAAACCTGTACACACCTCCTGTATACACCTCCTGTATACACCTCCTGTATGCACCCCCTGTATACACCTGCTGTATACAGCCCCTGTATACACCTGCTGTATAAACCTGTACACACCTCCTGTACACACCTCCTGTATGCACCTCCTGTATAAACCTGTACACACCTCCTGTATACATCTGTATACACCTGTATACACCTCTTGTATACACCTGTGTACACCTCCTGTGTACACCTCCTGTGTACACCTCCTGTATACACCTGCTGTACCTTACAGCAATGCATCTTACAGCATACATATATACATACCTGTACATACATACATACATATATACATACATACATATATACATACATACATATATACATACATACATATATACATACATACATATATACATACATACATATATACATACATACATATATACATACATACATATATACATACCTGTACATACATACATACATACATACATATATACATACATATATACATACATACATATACATACCTGTACATACATACATACATATATACATACATATATACATACATATATACATACCTGTACATACATACATACATATATACATACCTGTACATACATACATACGTATGGTAAAATAAATAATAAAACAAACTTATGTTTTTTTTGACACAATTCATATATTTTCATATATTCATATATTAAGTACTGTATGTTTATACTGTTAATATACTTTACAAGGACGTATAGACCTGCACTGAGCCAGCTTTAAACTCAGTGGAGGATAAAGGGGAGTCTGGAGCTCTGTGCCCACTGTGGCTAAAAATACACTGACATTTTATCTTTTGGGCTCATGTTGAAGGTGATCTGGAACCGCTAATAATGAGGAAGAAGCTCAAACGGCTGCACGGTCATTGGATATAGTGGAAAATTCAGGAAACTACAACCAGCTTTGCTAAAAAAACACATTATTATTAATACATCAATAATGAATACTTTTTTTTAGAAGTGCTCTACAAAGATGAAAGGGAAAAAAATACAAATACAATATAATAACTGTTAAAAATGTGTTAAACTTAGCCCTATTGTAAATGTGTGTTAAATATTTGAATTGTTTTCTGTTGTGTTAGAATTATTTAGGTTCTGGCCAATTGAGTTATTATTTAATTCCAAAATAACCGTAAGATAGTATGGAGTTTAGGATTTTTTTTTTTTTTAGAAACGTGAAAAAAAAAATGGCGCCTGGAAGATGATACTCCAGAAATAGATCCAGAGATAGAGAAGTACTAACTCAAAACCATGAATTATTAATATACACATACTGTATTTATGAACATGTAGGTAAACAATTGCAGGAAGTCGGTTCGGTTTAACGAGGCGCAACATTTGCCAGTTTCGACCAATCAGAGAGAAGCACCGTCAATATTCTCACACGGGAAGAAGAGGAAAAACACCTGAAAAACTCTGTAAACTTTGAGAGAAAAGTTGTTGTGGTCTGGCTTCATCCTGAGCTTTTACACTTTTACGAATAAATACTTCTTACAATCACAACGTTTTATTCTTCAGTTTATTAGACCGTAGATGACCCATAATGGACCCATAGATTAGATTTGTTTCAATGTGTTAGCCTTATTGTGGAAGAGGCCGAATGGAGAAAACTGGAACACGGTGTTTGAGCAGAAATCTTGAGCCAAACGTATCCGAATGAGAAAGGCAGAAACCAGGGGCGGACCTTCCATATCCCAGGAGCCCCAGAGAACAACTCTTTCAGAAATAATTATCTAAAACATAATAATCCATCAATAAAACGCCAAAAGTATCCGAAAACGCAAAGTTAAGTTGCTTGCATGGAATATTCAAAGAAGCACTTATCCAAGAGGAGAAAAGCAAAAAGAATTCAGGGATTCAGGTCTAAATATAGCTACAGGGCGACAGTTGCTCAGTTGGTAGAGCATTGGCCTTTGAGCCAGAAGGTCGAGGGTTCGAGCCCAGTCCTAGAATGAGTCTGGTGTGTGTGTGAATGGTTGGTGGTGGTGGGAGGGGCCGATGGCACAGACTGGTTGCCTCGCTTCTGTCAGTGTGCCCCAGGGCAGCGGTGGCTACAGTAGTAGTTTATCACCACCGTGTTTGGAGTGAAAGAAAAATGACATGTGAAGGGTCTTTGAGTGTCCTGAAAAGCGCTGTATAAAACCCATGCATCATTATTATAAGAATATTTAGTAGAGGCAACCAATAACTGGAAAATATAACTAGATCACAAAAGTTTGCCACGGGCCCATTTATGGTTATATCCGCCACTGCTAGCAACAACCGAGCAAAAAAGAGCAGTGGCAGTCCGTCTCATCTTGCTCTACTCTTAAGCCAAAGCCGATTTTGGGGACAGAAGGCACCTCATTGGTCAGTTGTTGGGGCTCATATCTGAATTTACCAAAAAACCATTTCAGGAAATAAACACAGAGATTGTAAGCGTGTGACACTAACGGTTACTGAGCAAGAGGAGTTTACTTTTCAATGTAAACGAATGGAGCCAAATTGAGCTACATTGAGCTAGTAGCGGGTTAGCAACGACCATCTCTGCACATGTGGATGACCGGCGATTACAAACAGGGACTTAACAAAACCTCCTCGTCTGCTCTTGCGTGTGCCAGGGCTGCGTCCTGGTGGCGGTGGCGGTGGCGGCGGCGGCGGCTGCTTGTCCATGGGAGATCGTTCCTCTGCGGGGGTCTGTCTGCAAGCACATGCTCTCACAGCCCGGGCCCAACCTCCGACTGTTCCACTCCTCCACTCCACGCACCGCAGGGGAAGTGTGGCGCTCCGCAGACGTGATATGGCAAACACATACACACACGCACACTCACACACACACGCACACACACACACGCACACACACACACACACACTGGTCCTCTTCGTGATCCACCATTTCCATCTCCGGTCTACTTCTTAAAGGTCTCCATTATCTGCCGGTTCAATCATTCTCCACCTATTTGTCAAATTGAATCTATAATTCTTTCCCTTGACCAGAGAGATCGTTTCGTTTCACTGCCTCTGCTCTGAATAATAGTTGGAATGTTTTAAGTCTTGTCCTAACACGCATTTTTACGCCTTGAAACTAGAAAAAGTTAACTTTGTGATAAAAATCTATGTAAATGTTCATCTGTAGCCGGTCAAATAAATAAGCTTAAGTCAACAGGGAAATACCTCTCCCAATCACTGAGAATTAAAAAGTAAACGGTTCAATTACTGATGGAGCACTGTCTGGGAGAGTTTTGAGACGAGAGACTTAAATGCAGGAAAATCACTGAAATTGTTAGAATATTACAACATGAATGTGCTTTATCTTGAGTCAAAGTGGGGAACCTACATCACACCACCAAAAACACAGCACAGAGCAAAAGTGTGGACACCCTCTCTCTTCACTGAGTTCTTTTCATGACTATTGTCTGTAGACCTGCACCAGGCTGTGTAAGGGCTGTTTGACCAATAAGGAGAGAGATGGTGCTGGGCCACATGACCTCCACAGTCACCGGACCTGAACCCAGTCCAGATGGTTTTGGACCTGAACCCAGTCCAGATGGTTTTGGGGCTGGACCACAGAATGAAGGGGCCAACTTTCCAAGGTTTCTCACTTTTTCCCTACTTTATTTATTTTTGAGTCATTCCTTGCCATTGCAGGACAGGCAGTGATGATCCCAGACATTTATGGACATCTGTAGCAGTAATTATAGCAAGGGCAACAGAGCATTGGTCTTTGAGCCAGGAGGTCGTGGGTTCACCATCGACGCCCACTGTCTGCTGTCGTTGTGTCCTTGGGCAAGACATTAACCTCTGGGAACAGCAGGTGCCACAGTGGGGCGGCTGCGGCTGCAAAGTGCCAAACTGTTGTTGTGTCCTTAGGCAACACATTTCACCCCCATTGCCTTGAATGAGTCTGGTGTGTGTGTGAAGGGTTGGTGGTGGTGGGAGGGGCCGATGGCACAGACTGGTTGCCTCGCTTCTGTCAGTGTGCCCCAGGGCAGCTGTGGCTACAGTAGTAGTTTATCACCACCGTGTTTGGAGTGAATGAATAATGACATGTGAAGAGACTTTGAGCGTCCCAATACAACCGAAATTGATGCATTAAACTTTCTCATTCTCTGAACTGTTGTTGGTTAATCAGCAACTATGTAAAGTCCTCAGACACCTGCAGATGGGATTTAGGGCTATACAAAAAATAAATGGAATTGTTTAATAACCCTTGTCAATCTCCAAGAAGAAAAGCAACAAGGGTTATGTAAGTTTCAGGTAATCTATAGAAAAGTTTGCTCTCTGCTTTAAAGCCAGAACAAATGGCCTCACACCTTCTTTCTATACCAACCTGCAGCTGCATGACCAACTATAGAAGTCTCCGGCAAATTGAAAATGTTGTTATTTAGTTATGAGAATGGAAACACAGGCATATGAGATTGGATGATTATTGCATGGCAGCGTGTAACAACTTTATATTGGGGTTGTGCTGTTGAGACTTCCACGGCAACTTTAGATTAGCACATCTAACACTTCTTCCACACCTTTGGCTCTGTTAAGACAGTGAAATCCACTTTGTTTGGTTGCTTTTGTGAAATATTGTTGGGTAAAAATAGACTGTGCTTGTCTGGAGAAAGTCGCCCTCAGCAGTCTTAATTAAAACACAGCAGCGGAGCTCAAAGTGGAGCTATGCGCTTTAGGAGAGAAATAACAACTTCTTCCACAGCAAAGGGAAAGCCAGCCTCATCAAACCCGACTTCAGACCGACCGGAAAGAGGACTGAGTATGACGCAGCGCTTCAATGTGTATGTAGATTGTGTGTCTGCTAAAGTTGTGGAGTTTGAATGAATCAGATTTCAGTCCAGCACATACAGAGGATTCAGAAGAAGTTCCACCACTCATTTGCATTAGTCTCGATAGCTACATAACATGGCTAGAGTCTTTTAAATGCACCACTGTATAACAAAAAAAAAAATATATAATTAATAATACACACACAAGCTGGCAGGACTGAAGGAGGAGCACCACTCAGAGTAAGTAAGTAAGTAATCTTTATTTATATACCGCCTTTCTCAGACCGGAGTCTCAAAGCGGTTTACACTTGTTATTTTTGGGCATTAGTCTCACTCCACACAGAGATGGGAGGGGCCAGTACAGGAGGCACATACCAGAACTATTGTACATGTTTTTAGTGGTAGGGGAAACCGGAGTACGCGGAGGAAACCTACGCAGACACGGGGAGAACATGCAAACTCCACTAAGAAAGGCCCTGGTCCGACCGGGATTCGAACCAGGACCACTCAGCCACCGTGCCGGAGCAGTGGGTAAGCACTTTCTCGGGCCTTTTTGATGCACCTCACACATGCATATATGTAAAGGAACCGATGAGTGAACAAAAATGAAGAAATTGTATAAAACCATTTAAAACATAGAAAATAAAAACACAAACAATTGGGCAGCCATGGAGGAGGGCAGGTCTCACTTAGATCGGACTAAGATTGGGTCATGATCAACTTGTGTACGTTTTTTATTGTGTTATATGTTGGTGTTCTTGTTGAATGTTGATCAGTCGGTTTTGTTGTCTTTCATAAATAACAACGTTCGACCACCTTCACTTTGTCTATATTTTATAATGTCGCAGCCTGATTCCAAAATGGACAATTTTTATTTCTTGTCAATCTACTCATACAACCCTGTAATGACAACAGTGAAAAACTCTATATCTATCTATGAAGCCTAGATATTTGCTCAGTATATTTTAAAAAGTGTGCCAACTTATAGCGCCGAAGAAGACTCGCCATAGTGTGGAATCTGACCATCACCCACTGGACACATGGTCATAACACGGTCCTGGCGACTTCAGTTTGGCATCTTTTGTTGTGACTAGCTAACATCTGTGGATAGCCCTCTTCGGTGTGACGTACAAAGTCTTACACATGGCTTGCTTGGTTTTCATTCTTTCTGAAGCAGGTTTTGAACTCTTTAGTTGATTAATTTCACATTGTCAATTGTTTACTGTTTTGTTTGCTTTAATATGTACTTGTCTGGTGCACACTGGGGACTTTTGCTAATGGATTCCAATGTGGTTTTACTGCAAATGGCAAATAAATTAATCTGATCTGTCATTTTCAATAATAGTATCAAATGTGATTAAATATGTTCAGGTTTTTTTTGCAATACGTTGGCAAAGAATACTAAAAAAATCCCAGCCAGTATTATAATTACAAAAGTGAGATTTTGGAACAAGGCTTACACAACTATTGCTCCTACCAAGCACAACCATTGCTTTTACTTCCTGGTAAGTCTGCATAATCTGTCAGTTTTACTCAAACAAACAAAAAACCGCAGTTGTGATTTAGGGCTACACACCAACACATTGAATTGAATCCACAAGAACCCTTTACACAAATCATATTTCTGAACAAACCTGTTTTGAAGTGAGACTGCAGAAATGTGTCAACGTGGACAGACCGTGATGGATTTGAGTGTCGCGTGCCTCCCCCGCCCCCAGGGGGCAGAGCTGGCCTCTTCAAACCTTCAAAAAGCATCCACGAGAAAAAGAGAAGCAGCATGTTGCGGTGGGCGTCAGTCACAGTCTGAACAGGTAGCTCAACCATCCTTCCAAGTCTGGTTTAATGCAATAGAAAGCCTCTGGGTCCTTTTAGCAATTTGGAGCCGACACACAAACACGCCCACGCTCGCCTGGAAACTCTTTATACGGCGAGCCCTTCATGTGCAAATGTGCTGAACAATGTGCGGCGTCCGTGCACGAGCGTTCCCCGCTGGATCCTTCCCACGATTCCCTCTTTCCCTGCTCTAATATACCAAAACACATCAGTGGCCGTCGCTTCAAAACACACAAGAAGCTCCAACTTCTCCACTTTTCAAATAACTCAGTTTAAACAGGATCTACCCCATTTGTCCTTATTTGGGCAGGGAGGAAGTCAGAGGAAGTCAGAGGAAACAGAGCAGTTTGTTTAGCTTGAGTGACTAGCTAAAAAATAAACGGCTGTAGAAAGTTTGCATACGTCAGGGTTTACACAAACGTGACGCATGATTGTGTTTTATTCTTTTGAGTCCATGAGTATCAAGTCAGCAGGTTTATGTTAAAATAGAGAATTCTATTTTTTTTTTTAAGAATGGTGAGTAATAGGGTTTCTTTATTCATCTATTTGTAAAAGCTTTTGGTAACACTTGCACCTGTAATAAGTTCAACAAAAACAGGTCAGATTTCAAACATATCTAAACTGTAAATATGCATCTATAAAAATATATACTCAAGAATGTTTGAGGCACAGTGTCTCCTGTTGCTCCAGGTCTGCCCACGGCTCATTGTTGTTGTGTAGCGTTAGCAGCATAGTTAGCAGCATAGTTAGCAGCATAGTTAGCAGCATAGTTAGCAGCATAGTTAGCATCTGTGACGCGTGGCTAATTCCTCACAGTTTCTGTCTGCGGCTTGTTCAGGCCAAAAAATGCACGTATCCTGGAGTTGTGTTGGATCGACACTGGTTGTATTCAAACCTGAATCGACCTGGACCAGAGTTTGTTTGGAAGCGGACCGAGACCACCTAAAAAAGTGGCTCTTGGTCCGGTTCTTTGGTCCGGACCAGGATTTGTTTGTGTGTATTCACACCTGCATAAAAGGTCCAGATCAGAGTTCCAAACAAATCCTGGTCCGTTTGAAGTGGACCAAAAGTGCAGGTCTGAACACACCCTCGAATGGATGAGTAAAGACTCCAAAGTGAATCATTCAGGATCATGAGTTAAACTTCAATCCTTTGAGGAGCTACCTGAAAGGGGGTGGAGAGCTACTGGTGGTTCCCAAGCCACAGGTTGAACACCCCTGTTATATATAGATAAATACATTTACATGAAGGTCATGGGTTTGAATCCCGGTCGGAACAGGGCCTCTCTGAGTGGAGTGTGCATTGTTCTTCGCTCTCCCCGTTCCTGCGTAGGTTTCCTCCGGGTGCTCCAGTTTCCTCCTGGTGCTCCGGTTTCCCCTACTACTAAAAACATGCGCGATAGGTAAATCCTCCAGCTCCGGTCCTGACCAAGCAGAGCATCTAATCCACTTTATATATTTATAGCACATTTTATAAAACACGTTTCCAAAGTGCTGCACGGATAAAAGTAACAAATTCAAATATACAAGTCTGCCAGCTTTAAATAAAAATAATAAAAATCAAGTAAAATTTGTTTTAAATAGAGCAATTAACTATATACAAAAATAATTGTAAAACAATAAAATAGATAAATGAAAAAAAAAAAAAAAAAAAACTCACGCGGTGTTAAAAGCCAGAGCGTAAAAATGCGTCTTAAGACGAGACTTAAAACTTTCCAACGAGGGAGCAGTTTTGACGTGGGGTGGGGGGGGGGGGGCGGAGCGTTCCAGAGCTTTGGTCCAGCCACAGAGAAGGACCTGTCCGCGGGGTTTTAAGTCTCGAGCTGCAGCTGGCCCTCGGACCTCAGTGCGCGGGGCGGGTGATAAAAAGCATCAACATCTAGAGATGGGTCCCCGGTGGGTGTACTACGGCGACCGCGGCTCCTGACAGACGCCCTAGTGGCATCAGGATGGGTCCAACACAGAGGACAGAGAGCTCGTTACGGGGATAAAAAAAAAAAAAGTGAAAATTTACATTTATTTACATGGTGAAAAACTCATGAACGTCAAGAGAATCACAGTATCCATGTCTCCTCTTGACTCGTCGCTGCTTACCTCTGGTTCTTCTGTTACTATAGAACACTGAGCTCGTTTGCCGCTGACACCGTAGTCGCACATGCAGATGTTGTGGGCTCTTGACTCTGAGTGATTGGCAGAGAGTCCAGCTGTTGGGAGACTCATCAGACTGCCTCCACGGTGGCTGAGTTTGTGCTGACTCCAGCGCAGCATCTGTTGCACGGATTAAAATGCAGAACAAGCAGAGATCAAACTGTACAGCGTATTGTCTTTCCACCTCAGATGAGCTTACATCCTGGATACAGAGAGAAGGATCCGAGCCGTCAGAGAAGACCAGGAGGAAAGGGTAAAGGCTGCATCAGGTCTTCGCGGAATCTCTGCTGATATTTCACGTTCACCTTCTTTTAGATCAAAACATGTTTAAAATACATATATATGCAAGTTGATTTTCTGCCTTTGCCTGTTATCCTTTAGGCATCAAAGTAACTGACTATATGAGCCTCTTAAGACACATTTATTGATTTAAGTTCTTCTCAATTTCGTATAAAGTTTCAGGGCTCCACCTCGTGTCAAATGTTGGGATTTTTTTTAGGCTTGTTCTGAGTGTCGTTTTCCCGTGTTTCAGTCCCACTGCTCCCAGTGTTGGCGTCAATGACACAGTGCGACAGTCACGGGGTCTGTTCCATACACTTACATGTGGCTCTAAAACATTTAATGCAAGACACAAAACGAAAAATCCTTTTCAATGACCTGAAATAATTGGTTACTTTAGTGCATTCTCTCCTCATGGAAGAGAGCGACAGCAGATGCACCATAAAGTCTCCATAGAAACATTGGAACGGTCTGAATATTTCTCTGCTCATTCCAACAGCATTATGCACAGCGTACTGCAGTTTGAATAAATATAACATAATGTCTATCTCCTCCCCGTCCATTATTCTGTGACAAACGGTGAGAAGCACATTTCCTCCTGTGACAGATATTGTGGATGGAGCAGGATAAATAAAAGGAGCAGTCCCAAGGCGCGGCGGGCCTGAGGCGATCACATTGCTGGCAGGCAAACAGGCAGTGCCCAGCAGGCCTGGGACGGATCAGGCGGGCGATTGGAGAGCTGACAGCTGATTTAGCTCCCCCTTAATGAGCAAAGGGGAACTGCGCTTACGTAACAGCAGCTCTGTGCACTGCGAGCGAAGAGGAGCTGCAACATATGTGATGAAGTGAGGATCGTGTGACGGGGAAAGTGTTTTATTGTGTGTGTGTTTATTCTGTATGTTGCTATACACTTGTCCGCTTTAATAAGAACTCTACAATGTGGGGCCTAACTGTGTTGTGTGCTTAAAATAGTTCAGCGACGACAATTCCAGTCCATCCATCATCTTCTGTTCTGTCCGGCTGGGCGGCTCTCAACCCCATGTGAGCAGTCCCAGCGCTTCTCACCAATAAGACCCCCCCACCTCGCTCACTCCACGCCTCCTGATGTCTACTCATGATGCTAACGTCTAAACATTCTCACTGTGAATGAAACCACACACTTCTTTACTTCTTTCTTTAAAGAGATTTGAGATTACTTATGTACAACAACAAAAAATACCCCACAGTCCTCTTTCAGCTCTGTCATAGGGAGATGGAGCAAACCGTACCCTACTCTAGACCATATGATTCTGACATGACGAGAACATGTCACAAAAATGCACCAGAGGTAAATTCCTCCAGCCCCGATAGTCCTGACCAAGTCTAGCATCAACATCTGAAGGAGATAGGTTGGCGTAGGCTCGCACCATGGACGTCCCAAACATTAGCAGAAGTGACATATTTTGGCCAGCTCTGGTTCTCCAGGTCGTTGGCGTGCAGTGGTTCAGAGTAACAAGATGCTGATCAGAGTGGAGCTGGAAGTAGATGAGAATGAGCAGAGTTTATTATGGCATTTATAGAGAAAAAAAAACAACAAATTCAGGATGACGCTGAAATCCCCAAAAAATACGACTTTTGAGAAAGCTGGAGTTTCCCTGTCAGTTGAACGAGCCGTTGTAGTTAAAGAGCGACTAAACACAGAATCAACGTTTTTCAACTCATAAACTGCATAAGTATGTTTATTGTAGTGCTCTCCACATATCCTGGTCATTTTTTTGACATTTTAGTTCAAATTAGATAAAATATCACTTTTGAGCCAAAAAACGTTGTGTGGCGCCCTCTCAACCTTTTTGGTGGTACTACATTTGAATTTGGTTCTGGCCTCTCCATTGACTCTGAAGTTCTCTATGACATCAGTTGTTTTGTGTGACGTCAGTCTGTCAGAGCCAGTGATGTGAACCCATCCAACTCTCACACACGCCCCAGCTGCAGTTTGGAGTATTCTGGCGCCATCTAGTGGATTAAAATTAAATTACATGAGTCATTCTGAGATTATTGAGTGTGATTAGGTTCAGGTGTGTAGCTTTACAATTATCTTAGTGTGTAACCAAGGGTGGAATGAGACTTTCTGGTCTGTAAACTATTGCTTTAAGCAGCAATGACAACTGTCTGGTTTTTTAGTGAGACAAGTGAGCTGTCAATCACGGCCCAGACGACCCTTCTTGTCCCTTGGTCCTCCAGGCAACGCCCTTTTTAGAGAAAATTTTCAAATGTTCATGTGGGCAGAGTAAGGCTGGGCACAGGTGTTTAGTCGCTCTTTAACATTGAGGGCTATGGGGAAAATCCATGTCCCTTGTCCACACTGGAGACAGGTTTAAGCTCGCAATACCCAATCCAGATAATATAATAATCCATGGGTGCCCGCTGCACCTTACGAATTGCCCTATAAAGGGATTGTGTCAAATGCAGAGGACATAAGAACAGTCTTCCTGACCTTACCTCGGTGTCAGCTCAGGAACTCTTTCTTACATTGATGAGCTGAAATCTAAATCCTTGAATCATCAAACCTTAGAGAAAGCAGTTAAATGTCCCTTTTCTTTTCGAAGATGATCATTTGTATATACATATTATCACAGAAAACCAGAAGCAGGCGATCTTTGACCTCTCGAAGACGCTGTCGTGGAGAGAAAAGTGCTCACTCTTTCTCCTTTAAGAACCACTCTTGTTCACATGAAGTAGACTTAGAATTGTATTTATTATTCTTATAGAGAATCATGGGAGCACAACCTCTAGCTTTCTACAACAGTGGAAAGATTTGTGTTGGTTTAACAACTATGGTGACATGTAATCAAGCAATCACAGCTGAGGATTGGAGCGAGCCCGTGTAGTAGAAGGCCGTAGCTCCATTATTGCTGCTTACAAAGACTTAAGTGGTAAAACGGATCTAGCTGCTCTGGGAGGTCAGGAGGATTCTAGTCAGTTCAAAAGGACTCAGTGACCAAATACTATCTCTTCAATACATCTTCTGTTGCTACTGGCCGTAAAAACACAGCTGTAGTTTAACACATCAGTTTGGTACCTCTCTCTATCAGCGCAAAAATATACGATCGAGCTATAGCTGTTTGGTTTCACAACATTAAATATGAATAACTTTGTGACTGTTGTCTGAAAGTGCATTAGTATTTTGATACCATAGACACAGGTACAAACCCTGCTGAAACGTCAACACTTGGCAGGCCGGTGCGACTTGGACTTATATTAAAATACACACAATGAGTTTGATTCCGTGGTACTGTGTGGTCTTACCATGATATGTAAAATTGGCAGTATAGTGGTCACTAGATGGCATGTTCTAGAGACAGAGAAATGTCAAAATGTTTTGCTGGGATGCCACAATTCTAACAATAATAATAAGTATTCACTCACTCTACATTGACTTCGATGTGGCGTCTTTTAGGACTAAATCTAACAGCTAAAGGAAAAGTACCAGGAGACTTGCAGAGTTGCTTAATCAATGTGTCTAGGAATTATACAGTATCTCTATATACAGTATATGTCTTTATCTATATCGACAACACCTCCTCTAGTTGTTTTTTTATCACGAATAGTAAAAAATTCCAAACAATCTCATATGATTTGCATATTCCTTGAGTTTGGCCAGGCTAGCCGCGCTGTACAACCAATGACAAGTGAAGTGCTATTGTCTGCGCGTGGCCTTAACCCGACTTGTTGGAAGCATATATGTTCTGACAACGCAGATGTCGAGGAGGGAGGGGGGGGGTGGGGACCCGCGGGACTCCGACTGTCGCCACTGGGGCGCGGTCAGAGTTCACTGTGCACCCCCCGCTGCTTGAGCACGGGCTGGCAGGCCACGGGAGTCTGCAAGTCCATGATGTACTGGCATTTGCTGGGCTCCTTCGCCGTTCGCAAGCCTGTCTCCGTTCCGCATGTCAGCGTGACCTAGAAACGCACAAGAAAAGAAAAGTTGTTGGAGAGGAGAGCCGCAGTCGAGAGGCGCTTCACGTTGATTGAAGATCGTCGTACCTCTCGCCGCGCGCCTTCCCCGCACAGAAAATCAAGACAATTGACGACGTGTATAATAAGCAGAGTGGGATAAACTGGTCTGCGATGTACACAATGCTAAATGAGAGATTCTAGGAACAGCTGACTGTAGCAGTGGGCCCAGATGTTGTTTGGTTGCCTTTGGAAATGATCCAATGTCACCTTAATGGTCAAAATATTATAACAATAAAATACTGTGAGAAGATCTTGATTGCTTAATTGATTCGTCTTGATTTTAACCCTTTAATCTTTTACCCTTAAAAACCCTTTTATCTTTTAAGCTTTCTTTTAATCATTGGTAACACAACACAACAATCCGGCGCAACACAAATACTTTTGCACTTAATCTATCTACGCTCAATGAGTTTCGGTTGCATCAGTAGTGTTTTCTGAAGTCTTTGTACGTCTTTCCAAAACCTCAGAATGCCTTCTCAAATGCCTTTGTCTTGTTCTTTTTTAAATATAAGAATGTGGTGTTTGAAATTTGTATGATCTTTTTTTAACCATTTGTTGGATCCCTTTTTGAGTAACTATATCTACTTGAAGCTTACTTAGAACTGAAATCTACCTCATTGGGGCATCTAAATCACGTGCTTTTGGGCGCTTTTACCATCAAACTGCATCACAACCATTTGGTAAAGGCCTATAATAAAAAAATTAAAAATTGGGAATACAAATTGTTTCCAATGCTTTTTTTCAAGGAGTGGACATAAAAGGGCGACTGATAACGACTTTGCTTTGTTAAAAAAGGCTGCAACATTTCAGCCGGTGGTGTGCCATGGGATTGAAGGTGTTTCACGGCTCAAAAAGGTTGGGGAACACTGGACTCTATGAAGCAATAACAGATTTGTGACGTGATTGAAAAATGAGCGGCATTGAAAAGGCCAACAATAGACAATGATTATATATGGCAGAATATTTCCACTACTTTCCATGGGGGACAAAGAGATTATTATTATCAAATCCGGAAGAAAGAAAGAAAGCACCGAAGGCTAACCAGAATAGAATAAGGACGATGTAGTTTATCGTGGGAGGGCGGGAAACATTCTTTTCTCCATAGCAAAGTCCATAGTTTGATACAACGGCATAAAACTTAAAAATCTCCATGGAAACTAGCCACAAGTACTTTTGGAAATAGGATATAAATACATAGTTAGTATAACATTATTATTATTATTATTATTATTATTATTATTAATTTCTATTATTATTATTTTTTTATTATTATTATTATTTTTTTATTATTATTATTAATTTTTATTTTTAATATTATTATTATTATTATTATTATTTTATTATTATTATGGAATATTCTCATCAAATCCTGTACTGCTTATGATGTTTTTTAACAGTTATGTAAAGTTTCTTGTGGATGTTAATCATCACTATTTTTTTTGTGTACTTAGTTTTTGCAAATCAACCAACCCAATTTGTTGCGTTAATTACAGGTGATTTTTAGAACTTGAAAAGGCATCAATGTTTGCTTTGATGGAACCGTGATTAAAAATAATTTGGAGCAGCCTTGGCTCACAGATAAGGTTAACACACAGAACCCTTATTTTCATTCTAAATTATCTTAAAATTGTGAAAAGGGAAACGGGAAAAAGTTCACCAATTTGCCAGCAATCTACCAAAGTAATGTAAGTACTGTATAAGGTTACATAATAATAAATAAGTTCATAATAAGTACATTGTAAGTGCTTTACAATCACTATTATTATTTACTATTGCTAAAAACACTTATGCTTAATGTCAGGACACATAATTATCATTTTTGAGTTCTTTTTATTTTTACCATTCAAACGACAAAATTGTTCTCCTACCAAACTCAGACCAGAAGTCATTTTTATAGAAAAAGTAATTAGGGTTGCCACTTTCTTAACAAATAAATGAAATCAGCTACAAAAATAGTCACAACATCATACACAGAGTTTGTACAATTTCTATAGCGAGCCCTGTAGGTGGATTGCATCTGTAATCTTCAGTAAAATCTACAGATTCTGGCAAAAAATGAAGGATTGTGATTGCAATAACTGTATTAAACCAGTTAGAGGGAAAAACTACACACCCCCTTTAAGAAACCATTTTACATTGGAAATATTCTGAAAAAAGGCAAAAAAAACACAAATTAGGTTTTTTGGTAAATTTTTTGAGACAGACGTCCAACAGTCACCGACAAACACACTTTAATGGGGGAGACTTTAAGGCCCTCTGCAAAAAAAAAAGTGTTGTAAAAGGGGGAGCAAGAAAACAAAAAAAACACTACTTATTTGACACCCAGGGTGGTTTCCATGGCAACCCCACCCCCCCCCCCCCCCCCCCTCCCACCCCCACCACATCATACTGCTCCCCCTGTACAGACAATGTTTCTGCTGAACAAAGGCACCTGGAGAGACCTGGAGATCTCGGGGACTTGACAGGTACTATTGTGCGCAAGTTTTCAGCCGCGCTACAAAACTGGTGATTTGGGTTTGCTCTCGGCGCTGGACCAGGTTTTTTTTTTGTTTTTTTTCACTGTGTTTAGAGCTGCCAACAGGATGCAATATGTTTAGTGTTTTGCCATGTTCTTTCGCAGTCCGCCAAACAGTGAAAAGATCAGTAAGTCTCGGGGCTAATTTTGATCCCATTACAAGTGGATCGGCACAGAGCTGTCGGTAAAACGCAGAGAGGTGTTAATAATTGACATTGAGAAGCGGAAAGGAAGTATAGAATTATTTTAGGCCAAAGGTGGAAAGAATTGTGCTGCTTTTCTACACATGGCGTTATCGAGGACTATCATGCACACGGCTAAATGGAAAATACTAAATAATAACAAGGTCGACACAAATACATGTATAAATGATATAGATATAAGGAGCAAGGATCAGTGATGTGCGAGAAATCTCATGTTGTCCCTCTGGGCGCCACGGTTGACTTAAGTACTGTTTAAAACGGTCGATTGGGTCAAGCAGGGCGTCAAAAGTGCATGCTACATTGTGAGTTTGTGCGTGTGTTCGTGTCCTAACGATTTGTTTGTCTGTCAGTTGAAAAAAATATATATCATGAAAATCCACGATTGCCACCACCGTATGTCACAATATGCAAATTAGATGGGTATATTTAATTCCTACATAAACCTTTGGCCATATTTATAATTCATATATTCAGTTGTAAGTTATTAATACATTCATATGCCTAAATTGAGCTTCTTAGGAAAAATCCTCTGGTACCTAAAGGGTTAAAGTACGAACTAAAGGGACTGTATCTGTAGTTTATAAGTTTATCTGACGGGACATTGTGGATTCATGAACATTTCTGTAGAATATACTGTACGTTTTAGGGCTGTCTATTTGATTAATTCTGTATAATGTGTTGCACTTTGGGAAAAGCTCATTTAGGGAGAGGAGTTAAAGCTGCACTAACTGACTTTATTTTTGTATTCATTACAAAAATACTATCCATGCAGTGCATTGGGATAAACGTCCTTTAGAAGAAAAAGTAGCGCAGATTTGTGCTGGCGTGACGTTATATTTTAGATCGAGTTTTGATGAAACAAGGAAGAGATGTGTTTCGGGTCTCAGATTGTGACCAATCACAGCGGACCACTGGCCCCCACTTTTGTGAGAAATCTACAGGTCCGTTAGCATAGACGGCTGAGTTAGCACAACAAGCGGCGGAGCTAACCTGAAACTTGCTCGTCTTCGTCACCGGTTACTGCTTACACAGCGAGACCATCCAAAAGAAAGTCCCGTTCCTCTGCACTTCCCGGTTCTATCGTTCTATGGTCACGCCATCCACGTGAAAATCCATATCCATGTATTATCCATATTGGGAGACGCAGCTCCGTCAACAACAGTGGGTGTGTGTGGGGGGCGATAGCTTCGTGGGTGCGGGGAGGGGAGCAGAAAGAGAGAGGCCAGCGAGTCCACGGCTTCAAAATCCCAAAGTCAGTTAGTGCAGCTTTAAACATTAGCATTAGCGACACACTCTGCAATTGCATCTTTTCTGCTGTAACTATAGATGACTACATTGTCTCTGTCAAATAGATAAATACATAAATACCAGAATTCGCCAATAAGATTCTTTTTCATCTACAGGCCGTGGAAAGTTGTATATGCTCTTTCTAAAGAGAATAACATTAAAAGCCATTACAATAATAAGAAGCCATAAGTAACCATCATGCATTAGCTGTCGTTTCTTTTAGGGCTGCACGGTATAGGAAAAAAGTTCAATACGTAAAAGTGGTGTCCAGGACTGAGATAACCATATTTACTGCAATATTTTCTTTGCATTAAAGGTTAACACCATAGACTGTAAATATTAACGGACGTAGTCAGGCCTATCTCCGCCGTTCTAACTAATGGGCCAAACATTGGGCTTTCATGGAGTGATTCAAAATGGCCGTGGCGGCTGGAAAATGTGAAAAAACGCATCTGTGCATGCGTCAGCTGCACGAGAGACTTCTAAAGTCCACAGCGACTAAACTAGACTGGTCCAGAACACCCCCCTCAGCATTGACACACATGTGGAACGGAGCTTTGGGCCAAGAGACAACTTTTGGACCATCCTGTAAAGATGCTATTTGTTAGCATTGGCTAATTCTTATTCTGGGTCCACCCCCACAGGCCCGGGGTGGTATTGCAGCATGTCAGCGCACGTCATTTTGGCCACTTTTGAGCCGGGACCTGCCCACACTGATTAAAACAAAGACTTAACTTCGTTTTTTCTTCCCACTGTCTGCTTCTGGGTCTCTCCTGAAGCCGAAGCCCCACATTTTGGAACTGAAGTTTTTTTTCACGACAGATTGATATTGATATAGTTGTATTTTCAGTCCTCACAGTGATTGTACATGTTTTAAATGGTGGGGGAAATCGGAGCACCGCCAGGAAGAAACTCACACAAGCACAGGGAGAACATGCAAACTCTACACAGAAAGGTCCAGGAATTTAACCCAGGACCTTCTCATGGTGAAACACAAGCGCTTGGTTACAATCACACACACAACTTTTTTTTACCGGACCAATATCTTTTAATTTTTTTCAGCCTGGATTCCAATTCTACTTCACTGTCACAACTCATAATTAACATTTTTGACCCCAGTAAGAACAAAAGTACCTAAGGTTAATTTAAAAGTATATAGGAGGAGTTTCTCTTCTCACTCTCTGGTCTAATTTGACGAGAATGACTGACAATTGGGAAGAAAAACAATAGTCTTGATGATCCAACTGGAAGTAGAAAACCCTCCAATTTACCTTTAAGTGCATTTTTTTTATGGTTTTATGAAGGTATTTCAACATCATGTGCGTCCTGCGGTAAAAAAGTGATCTCACTAATTATATTCTGAGCGGACTGATGAGTGGTCACCCATAATGTTTGCCGAATGCGGAAGAAGCCAATTCAAACATAAGCTAGCTAGAGCCTTATCCTTATATGGGCATTTGTCAAAAGGGCCGTATCAGGGGCAGACGCAAACTAATGTCTTGCTAACATGGATGCTAAAGTCATCAAGAAGTTCTTAATTGCTCAACTAAGGCTCAAATCTGGACAATATACAAACAATAACCATAGGGATCATAGAGCGCACTAAAACCAAGTGTGTGACATTAACAGTTACTGAGAAAGAGGAGTTTACTGAAAGAGTGTACTGTAAAAGTTGTGGACCAGTTTAATAAATCACAACCATTTCTGTGACCAGAAAAGACAGTTTTGAGTTCTGGCTATTCCAGCAATTTGTCTGAACTCCACCCCGCCCATCTCTCCATCAACAATCGCTCTGTTCTCTCTTGCTTCGCTGCAAAGGCTCAAAAACTAAGAGTAGCTCCGGATTTTCAAATATAATGAGCGAGGGAGTTGTGACGACGCTTCATTTCTGGCCACGGCTCGCGCTCAGAAGGGTCTATCAAAGGAATTCAATTTAGACATTTCAAAAGGAAGGGCCCCCGAACGCCGTCACCGCGCCCATGCACTCGCCAACGACGCTTATTGGGCGACTATTTTGGAAGAAAGAGCAGAAAAGGACGAGAAAATGAGAGGATTAAAAGTACTGCGGTTGTAATTGAGCAAATCAGCTTAGAAATGAGGTGCAAAGAAGAAGAAATCCTGGGTAATCTGGAGGACGAGGAACAGATGGAGAGAAAGTGTAGCAGGTGAATGGGCCGTGAATGGAAGCAGACATTTGTGAAGAGTAGAACACTGAGGATGTGTATTAGAAAGACTAAATCGAGATTCAGATGTGCCGACCTCGTCTAAAGGTCCTCGATAAATGGTCGCCTGTAGATGTGGTTTGACCCAACAGAGACGTTTATGTGTACTGTTTTTTTTATAAAGTCACATTAATTACATTTTTTCAGGTGTTTTATGCGACTGAAGGCCTGAGTTTTGCTGTTGTAGCCGTGTGATAAAAAATTACTGTCTTTTTGAGGAGTAGTCTTGTATGAAATTAGCTTTGTCTTCTATATAAAAATCTTAAAATATTCATTATCTACTTATTTCCAAAATTTTTATTCGGATTCTAACAATAAAAACACAGTACTGTGCAGTGTTTACATCAGACGTGTCCGTGACATAAATGGAAAAAAAATATTTGCGAAATATAAGTAATTAAGTCACTGTAATGTATATTTAAATAGTGGCATTATACAGACCAATGCACAGACCCAAAGCACTTCAATGTTCAGTTCAGAGTCAGATATTGTTTCCAAACCTTCCAAACACGGTGAAGACAGAAGCGATGTCCTAAACCACCTTGGACCATCAGCTCCAACCACCATCATGTCACCTCCACTACATATTACAATCCGACCTATTGTGCAATGTTTTTTAGATGGTAGGGGAAAGCCCGGAGCACCCGAGTAAACCTACACCAGACACGGGAAAACATGTAACTCCACTCAGAAAGGCCCTGTTCCGACCCAGAACCCAGGACCTTCTTGCTGAGAGGCTAGAGTTCTATTAGCACTCTGGAGAAGGGAGAAAACAAGGCTGTGTGGCCGGCCCTTTCTTTACACTGTAAAATACACACACATTTTTAAAG